TAATTAAATTCAATAGGAGTAATTTTATATTATTCAGAATATAATCATAGAACCATAATGTAATTTTGAGATAGAAAGTAGATAAAAAGTTCATTCAGGGGTTTAACATAGCTGTCTGTATACCAGACCAAAGGTCCTGTGTAGCCAACAAAAATAAAGGCTATTTTCCTGTGAAAAAGAATGCCCAAAAAATTGCATTTCGTATAAAATCATGTGCAACTCACATATTGCAAATATTCTCATGTGTGCAAAAAATTATGAATCAAAATGCAAATAGTATTGTCAGATTAGATTCAATTTATTTTACAGATACAAATAAAAATAACTTTTGTTGTCTTTGCTATAATGTTTCTGAGCCTTCCAACAGAATCAGTCAGTTTAAAACCCTGTTGCCTTCCTGTTTTAATTTCTGATTCAATCAGTTAAAAATAAGGATTTTTTTTACATTATAATTTTATTAAAAATTTTACTGCAATGTTTTTAAGATGTATTCTCAATAAATGTAAAGTATTTGCCAAACTTCTTGAGCTTATGCAAGAGTTAGCTCCATTTATAGCTGTATCAGTTCAAAGGAACCCTTAATTTGATTGTGATTAATTCAATAGATAATATCTAATCAAACTGTTGTTTTTTTAAAGGAAATTTAAAGAAATGGAAAAGTATGAAGATAAAATACCCCCAATAACTTTACTTTCACTAAAATTACATTGTAGAAAACCTCAGGATTTGGGGATTTTTTTTTTAGTGTTTGTGTTTTTTATTTGTGTTTGGTTTTTTTTATTGGTTTAGCCTTCTATTCAAATCAACAAACAGGCTTCATTTTATGGTGCTGGCAAGAGGATTGAAAAAACTCAATCTCTTTAAGAGATCCCATTCTTTCTGATCAAGGTACCACATATTGAACACATTGAAAATGTTGGTTATGTTTTGTTTCCAAATTACTATTTCATTATCAGCTTCAACTCTTATCTACATGTCTTATATTCAACTATAACTGTTATATTCCAGAGCTATTTTTTCCATTCTTCATGTCAATATAGTTGTTACTAAAATAGCTTGCAACTGATCATTTTGTCTGTAAGTTCTGCCAGTAAATGTTGGCAAAAATGTGTGCAGAAAGCAATATGGATGAGGAATAAATACAGTTGAAGTAAATGCAATATACCTTCCTGATCAGAGAAATGTGTTTGAGATCTTTCAAGTGTACAAGACTTGGGAGTCTAGTAGCTGTTGTGACAGAGGGGCAATTAAGGCCAGGTAAAGGACAAGCTCACTTTCTAATTTTCTGAGACAAAGGAAGCCATTTATTTTTAGTTTAGAGAAACTGTAGTTTTAAGAGGCTGCAGAGTCCAATTCTGTGAGAACGAAGGAGAAAAGTTGTGTTGGTTTTGTTACACCCAGCTCTGGTGAGCAGGTTCCCGCAGTGACCAAGGCTGAGGGCAGGTCTGTCCTGTGCAGGTGCAGTGGCTGGAGGGGCCCAGGGCAGCCAACCTGCTCTGGCAGCCCAAGCATTCCATACCATAAACATCACTCACCCGCACTGTAAATCAGGAGGTCTGCAGGGATGTCTGGGGCTTCTACCATGGCTGCCTTCCTGAGAGGGTCCCAGCCATCTCTGCAGTCACCCCACACCTGAGGCTGCTCCTCTGCCTGCTGTGGCCATCGTGCTCCTGCTGCCGCGCTGGCAGCCTGGGCATCGAGCTGGCACTGCTGGGAGACACAGCTCCCATGCTGTCTGCACTGAGTGCAGCTTTGTGTCTTACATTAGGCAACAAAGGAAAAAAGAAGAGGGAATTTCAGTGTATACTGGAACTGCCTGGAGGAGAAGTTGAGAGAGATGCTAAAAATGTCAGGAGCTGGAGGGACAGAATGTAAATCTGTGAAGTTTTGTAGTGCTATGTGCATGTTGGAGCAAGCATACTCTCTCTGAGTTTTTAAGAACTCTTCTGCACTCCTGAAAATTTAGTACTTTCAAGTAGACCGAGCTATTTGAAAGTGTTATTCTGGAAGGGCAGAAAAAGTCGAGTCAGCATCCTGTCACATGATCCTGGCCACAAATGAATCTGCCAGCATAAAGGGCACTAACAAGATGGTTTCTGAATTAGAGATGTAGCTAAATTCATCTGATAATCCCTGACATTGAAAACTAAATAAACTAAATGAGAATCCTTTCTTATGTACTTATAAATTCTCTTGGGTTGGAAACTGTCTTGCAGTTGGAAAATATTGTGAGACCTGTCCTCTACCATAACTGTTGCTTCTGTTGATAATACACTATTGAGAAAGAAGTGCAGAAGCATATAAAGTATTCTTTGTGAGGGAGGATTTGTTAATTTTTTTAAGAGATGTGGGAGAAACCCGTGTTTGGATTAAAGACATTGTGAATTTAGGCAATTCAATGAAGCATACAGAGCTCAGTGCTGTAAGGCACTGATCCAAAAAAAAACCATTTAAATACCTGCCTGTTGTCAGGCTTCTGAATAATGCTGTAGCAGGAAATGGAATTTTTTGTATTCTTGAAGGTGTATTTCAGTGCTTTTTGTTAATAGTCTCTTAAGGCATTGCAAGTTTGAGCCCTTGAGAAGCAAGGATTAGCAATAAAGAACTAGAAATAATATCTCAGTTCATGAAGTTACAGCAAAAAACTGGGCAGGAAAGGGTATTAAAGACCACATGGTGTTGCTAACAGAAAACTTTAGTTTCTTCATCATAGAGTGTGTTGTTACATTTCAAAAAGCTAAGATTGTAAACTAGATTAGATCACAGAATCACAGAATCACAGAATCACAGTATCACAGAATCACAGAATGTTAGGGGTTGGTAGCCTCTCTGGCATCGGCTCACGACAGGAAGGGACCTCTGAAGATCATGGAGTCCAACCCCCTAGTCAGAGCAGGACCGAAAACTAGGGCAGATCACAGAAAGGCATCCGAACAGGTCTTGAAAGTCTCCAGAGAAGGAGACTCCACAACCTCTTTGGGGAGCCTGTTCAAGTGCTCATCATAGATATTGATGTTAATGATGTTATTGAAATCAGAATAGCAATACTGAAATCACTATCTGATTAACTACTCAGTTTTATAATCATATGCTGTGATGCCAGCGTAATTCCATAATGCTGACTCTCATTTTAACATATTCATATGGTGGCTTGAGGTATGAAATAAAATGCCAGGTAGACCAGAAAAAAGGTATGTAAATCTATTTAGGAAGGTGAAAAAATATATTCACTATCTTAAATAGAAATATGAAGGAGAAAGAGGAAGGAAATTACTGCAGCCATGTGCTAAATATTTGGGATTAATATAATGAAGTAGAAAATCACTTGTGTTTTTCACTCTGACTAATGCAAGTAGAAGCCCTAATGGGTTTTTGTCTCTCTTTGGATCTTGATTATTCATGGGTTTCTCTAGAAATACAGAAATGTGATACTTCATCCTGGGATGCTGGTTAAAACAAAAGAAAAGCAGGCTGTTGATGCTGCTGCTGTTAAATTATTGTTTATTTCCTTTTGTGTTTTGTTTTGTTTTCCCCTGTGTCTCATATAAAATATTGAAGTCTTCTTAGATTCCTTTGAGTCACAGAACTGCACTGTCAAAAAGACACTAGAGTGTTCATATGGCTCCTGCATTCTTTATAATTGTAATTATATTTCTAATTTGTAATTCTGAAAAACAGAATACTAAGTGACTCAAAAATCTCCTTGAAACTCTGTTTCCATATCTCAAGGTTGGGCTGTCATACCCCGAGTTTTAGTACTGGCAAAGGTGGTTAACTGATGCTGGTGGTGTTTTCAGTAAACTATAAGGATAATCTGTTTTTTTTCAGACATGATGTACCTAAAAGATTTGAACTCTTTCAGGATTTGTAGCAGACATACACCTGCCACTGAAGTCCTGATCTTAATTTTCATTTAGATGTTTAAACATCTTTGAAATTTTTCCCTTTGCTCTGGCCCAGTTCTTCTTGAATTCTGTAGGTATTTCTGTGAGGTTTAGATAGTGTCCTAAATGAAGATCTTGACGTTTATATGATGCCAGTGTAGCATCATTTCACTTGACAACTGAAGTTTTGAAATAAGGCTTCAGAAATTAAAAAGCCTGTGCAGATTTAGCGGCTGCCACCTAATTTTCACATTCATATACTGCTTAAGACTTCAAAGCAGAAGTGATATCTGGGGAGAAGAACAGCCTAGATCCAACTTCCAGGCACATGAAGCACTGAGCAGTGCCTGCTGATAGGCCATCAGATGGCTTTCCTTGCAGTCACAGAGAGCCTCTGTACCAATAACTTCATTAACTTGCTTTTCCCTGCCAGCTTGTGCAGTAAGAGCAATACAGCTTGTACGAAGGCAAGTCTGGCATAATAACTGACAGTAAGAAGTGCAGTGAAATCACTGTAGGATTTAAAAAAAAAAAAAAAAAAGCCCGGAAACTGTCACTACTGAGCAATATCTCTGTTATTCTATGATTAATACTCCTTTTTCTGTCAAGAGCCTTCTGCAGAGTTGACATCTGCAGAACATAAATCAGTAGACTGTTCTGGGAAGGTGAGCTAAGAGCTTCCAAAAAAATCTAAGCCCTTGGAATAACTTTATTGAAGCAAAGGTTTTTAAAATTCTGTGGTTGTATTTTCATAAGACTGCAAAATCTAACTTGGGGTGTCAGAGCAAAGTAGCTCGTTTAAACTTGCCTGAAGGGATTTCTGGTGGAGAAAATCTGTGAGCGTTGCACACGTTTCATTACCCAGATTCTTAGATAGACAGTGAAATTCTTCTTGCCATTAACATTTTCAGGAGTGAGAATTTTGACAACTGAACACATATGTAGGACTGGTCCTTCAAACTGTGTACCAGTCTGGTGCGGTTCTTTTGAATGAAAGGAAAGCCACCAATTTATGCCAGCCAAGACTCTGAGTCATATTTTACTGAATGGTGGCTGATCAGCTTTCTGTGTAAACCAGTGCTTGCCTAATACTTTTTCTTTCCTGCTTTGCATTAGGACCCCCTCAGAGAACTGTTTCCCCCAGACAAGACCATGAAGAAAGGAAGCATGACAAAGTCTTGGACAAAGGCAGTGAGAGTGGGACTTCCTGTAACGACTTGTCCACCTCAAGCTGTGACAGCCACTCAGAAGCCAGCACTCCTCAAGAAAATGCCACCAGCACTCAGCCATCCACAGCCCACCAGCCAAATACTCTGACTTTGGATCGTCCGTCTAAGAAGGCCCCGGTGCAGTGGATGCCACCACCAGATAAACGCAGGAACAGTGAACTCTTTCAAACTCTCATTAGCAAGTCCAGAGAAACAAATCTTTCCAAAAAGAAGGTATGTGAGAAGTTGAGTGTTGAGGAAGAAATGAGAAAATGTATCCAAGATTTTAAAAAAATCCACATTCCAGATTACTTTCCAGAGCGCAAACGTCCCTGGCAGTCTGAACTCTTACAGAAATATGGGTTATAGTAATCAACTCTTTCATGACCTATCTCTGGGGCATTTGATGTTCATTAAGTTGCCACTAACTTAGTGATGTCCTTCTGGCCAACTCCGCCACCAGAGCTATTCCTG